TCAAGAAACAGGGGAGCTAGTCTGAAGTTCATAATGTAATAGTTTTCTGAATTTTTAGTTTGAAGTACTGGTAGAATCTGAAATATGATGATATTTCTAAGACTTTGTGTTTGAAGTATCCAAATAGCCCCACTTTTACAGAGGTCACATTGAGTACAAAAGAAGGGAAATGATGTCCACTGATACTAGATTTGGACGGAGATGACTACTCTTGAGACACTCATATTTTACTCAATAAAATATGGTTACTTAATCACCAATAATTTAGGGGTTAACTCTATACAAAACAGAGCATAGAAAAATGAGTTTATTTGGAATATGCAGAATGCATTATGAAAGGCGAACGAAAGGCAATCTTGTAGCTTCACATTCAGAACCATTCTCATCAGTGCCCTTCAAATGAACCAATTGCTTCTAATCAGACCTCAATAAATTAGCTAATTTTAACAGATGTTTTAAAAAATACTTAGTGATTAAGTCCATTCATTTAGATGTGTATTCCATTTTTGGCATATATGTTTGTATAAGAGAGGATTTAAAAAATACTGCTGTGATTCAGCAATTCATATCTTAGTTTGTTAATGCTGATCATGGTGGTTTTTCTGTGTTTATTTTATTTTATGATAGATAAAACCAGCCAGTCATTAAGACTCAGTTATTATACATTTAAAATTGCTGACAGATGTGGCTTTTGTGCTACAAAACTGTGTATGAGGCCTACAGGTGAAAGCTAAATATTCACAATGTAACAATGCAAACTATAGCCGGGCGTTGGTGGAGCACGCCTTTAATCCCAGCACTCAGGAGGCAGAGGCAGGTGGATCTCTGTGAGTTCGAGGCCAAACTGGTCTCCAGATAGGCTCCAAAGAAATTATAAATAAATATTATAAATTATAAATTATAATTTATAAAATTATAAAATTATAATTTATAAATTATAATTTATAAATCATAAATTTATAATTATAAATTATAAATTTATAATTATAAAATTATAAAATTATAAATAAAATGTATTTGATTTCATAAACTTTAAAGATTTTTGTTCTTTTTAAAATATGTATAATTTTAACAAACTATTACCTTAAAACATATAGAATATGTTTTAAAGGATTGTTAAGGAGGTAGAAAATATTGCTGATAGTTTTTAATTTTCATCCATTCAAAATTCTGACTAAGAAGGACATAAATAATAAGGCTCCAAAGCTACACAGAGAAACCCTGTCTCGAGAAACAAAACAAAAAACAAACAAACAAAAACAATGCAAGCTATAATTGATGCTTTCAGAGAAATAAAGCCACTGTATTGACTTCCAGGTCACCTGGATAATAATTAGTCAAGAAAAGAAGGAAATGGCCAATTATTACATGTAGAATTCCAATTTTCTAATAATGTTGGGTTTTAACTATGGATTCTGCTCCTATTGGATAGCTTGAAAATTATTTTTAGAGTACAAAGTTCAATATAGCTATAATATGACAATATTTTATTTTGCGCATAAATATATGCACATAAACAGTTATATCCTGTGACTCCAAAATGATGTGAATGTGAAATAAATAGACAGTGATTTAAATAAAATGTATTTGATTTCATAATCTTTAAAGATTTTTGTTCTTTTAAAAATATGTATAATTTTAACAAACTATTACCTTAAAACATATAGAATATGTTTTAAAGGATTGTTAAGGAGGTAGAAAATATTGCTGATAGTTTTTAATTTTCATCCATTCAAAATTCTGACTAAGAAGGACATAAATAATAAGTTTGAGGAAATTAATATTTTCTTCAGGTTTGTTCATCTCAGACAGAACAAATGACACTTGACCATTTAGAGGAGTATTGCTTATTGTTGGTATTTTAGAGTGTTATATCAATTTATTTTGAATTTGAAAAAAATTCTTATTAGCATCCCTATTGTTTCTGTATGTCTTTCAAGAATAACCACATGAAATATTTTATATTCTTCTTATTTTTTAATTTGTTCTAATTTTGTTTACTTATTTTGTAGCAAAAGTGGAAAGGTATCAAACATCATACTTAAGTCAAGGGTAATTGGCAACTGACAAATGCTGTTATTGTACACAGTATGTAAATATATGCTTGGTACAGGACTTAGCTTTAAAATGTAAAAAGAAGTGATGGGTTACTTGGTATGCAACTAAGAAGACACTTATCAATCAATATCTGTTATTATTCTATCATTAATATATCTCTCCATGTATACATATGTAATAATGTTGTTCTACTGAAGAAAAAAGAAACAAAACTAGTTCAAGTAAGTTGTTTCTATAGTCTATCTACCACAGCTAATAACCTTTATATCTGTTAGTTACTTTCAGTTAGCATATTCTAATGATGCAATAATGAATAACTGAATGAATGAATGAAAATGTAAGTGAAGGCACTGACTTTGAAGATTCAGAGATATTACTATAACTATTCTTTGGATAGCACTATCATTTAGATTACAGTATTTGTTAATGGTTAAGAACATCATAATTTTGAAAAAAAAATCAATCTATTCTTTATTTTATTGTTTTTGTTAGCAAACTAAAGCTTGAACAAAGTAAAATAGATATAGTGGAAGAGAACAGGGCAGTAAACTCTTCTATTTTCTTAAAAAAACAAACAAACCTGAAAGTAGGCCATCAAATGAGAGAGAGCCTAATCTACCCAGCCCCTACCCATTCTCTGAGTGTATTATAAAGTTAGTTAATTAAATGGAAGACACAAGGGAGAATTTAGTAATAAAGTTGACATCATAATAGTTCATATACTACTTGAGAAATAAAAGCTATAAAAATTTACATGTGAGCTAGGAGAATTTGAAGAGCAAAAGACAGATGCTATCAACTGGGGTGCATATCATCATATTATTGAATTATGGCAAACCCACCCCCATCCTACCAAGACATTATTCACTGGAATTTTCTCCTGGGTATAAGCAACATGCTTTAAAATGCAATTTAGAGCTAGTCCAATAAAAATGATCCTTTAAATGCGTTTTCCTTTTGCTGTAAATTGACTTAGGAACCATTTCATGTTCCCGAACTCCAGATTTAGACAAACATATTTTTTCAGATTTCTTCTCAGATACTTTATCTTTTCAAGGGTCTAATCAAAGTCACTTTCATACTAAAGACACAGTGTTCACTGTCTTTGGATGCTATTGTAGCCAGTTCTAGGGCTTTTGTCTATTACCTCCACTCCCTAGTATACAATTATGGATGCAGCTAATTTTGCTTCTAAAGAGAGGCACAGTGCTGTTAGAATTAAAGGAAATGATTTGTGTAAATTGCTCAGTGTAGAAATGTGCACATGCCTGGAGTTAGTTTGGTCCCAATTCAAAGTCTCCAGGGAATCTTTCATGGCTTCAGGGTGTGTTCTATTCCTTTACATGACCAAATACCAACTCCAGTGCAGAAAATGGAATATTTTATGAGAAAGATGAAACTAGTCAATAAAAAGTATATGTAGGATGTGGGTGCTTAATATTGTGATAGCATTAAAGTCATTAAGAATACATTTATCTATAAACATACAGTTTCACAATGAAATTAATATAAAGTTATCAAAAAAATACTGTCCCTGCCACATCCTATTGACAATTACCCCTTAACTACCTGTCATGCATAGCCTAAATAATAAAGCATGTATCTTTTGGGGGGGGGCTGTAGGGTTTTTTGTATTTATATTTATTAGTGTTGACCAAAATTTACTGCACAGCTTAGAAAAGTTAACAACTATTTAGTTCTCTTTATCATCTACCTTTTACAAGCACATAAGTTATTACTAAATTATTAAGTTATAAATGCACTCTCAGGAAAATTCACCAAGTAAAATATATTTAGAATCTAGTCAAATAAGAAATGAAGCCTGATAGAAAACTTGTACTTGATGTCAACACTAAATTTTTCTAAGATATAGACGAAATACTCTTCATTAACTGAAAGTTGCATATTCACTCATAAGTCATTGTAACATTTATTCTGCCCAACAACAATGCATAGAACACCTCTGTGAGAGGCTCCAAGGATACCAAAGCAAATTCAAGGGATATGGCCATTGGTGTTCTCAGAGCTTACCATCTAGATATCTGAGAAGAAAATGTGAATTTGAGTTAAAAATACTGGCCTAGTGACATGAACTATCACAAGATGCCAAGAAGGTATAAATGGCTCTGATTCTGAACAGAGGGGTCAAGAAGGCTTCTAGGGCTGGGGTGGGGTAAAGTAGGACTATTTCTGAAAGCAAAAGTCATAATAGAACAGGAAAAGAACTGGGTGCTGAGACCTCAGGCAAAGCTTCAAGAGTGGCTGCAGTGAATAGACATGGATGGCTGTTGGTCATTCTCTAGTACCCTTCAAAGAAGAAGAATGATGGAGTTCTGTATTCACTAGCATATCTGGGTTTATAAGGAATCAGCAATTGCAAAATGCACATTATATTTCACTTTCTTCATCTCAGGTTTTGTCTGTCAGCATGCTGAGCCTGTGGAAATACTGCAAGTTTATCATAAAGCCTATGCATCTATATTCAATCTTGTAATGTACACATTGGTGGAATGTGTCTCCTGACCACTGTTTTTAATGATCTGAGACAACAAGCCAAATGTGTGTATTTGGAACTGGCTGATGAAACCATTTGTTTGTAGCTTAATCTCTTCCCAGTCTTCATTAGTATTATATTATAACACCAGGACCGGTAGACAGTCAGACTCATACCATGCATTAAGATGCTGTGTATTAGCATGTGCAATAATTTCTACATAAAGGGACATATTTGTGACACATGATTATTTGAGAGCAAGGCATTTCAGGCGGTATTTATTGATTAGCATCAAAACAGTAACTCAAATGAGTACATGGGTATTTGTATGAAGGGCATCCCATTTGGAAGGGCTGTTAAAAATTGGGACACCTGGTTTTAAATGATCAGATTAATTGGAATAGGCCCTGAATCACCATCTTACTTCATATCCTTTAGTGAAACTTACTTTCATCTCCTGTTTCAAATTCAAACTTCTGACTGTAGCCACTGTATCCTGTCGCAGTCCTCACTCGGATATGAAATATGTACTTGGTGGATGGCTTGAGACCTGTGATGATGACACTGGGGGCCTTGGACCTCGTGGAAGAATAGGTGAGCTGCTCATGCTCCTAGGGACAGAAAAAAGGAGAAAGGAAATGAGGCGGTGTGAACCTACTGTTTCCTAGAGACAGGCCCCAGTGAGAACTAAGGACTGAGGCTCTGACTATCAAAAATACTCATTTGAAAGAAATGTAATCATGAGTTTCCACAAGTTAGCATATACATATATATATATATATATATATATATATATATCTGATTTGGAAATTTATCAATAGAATGGTTACTTGTATTTACGTACATTTGGACTACAGGTGACTTTAGACTGGCTGTGACTTGGGGAATAGTGGTGGTCTTAGGCCATGTTCACACTGAATAGCAGCTTTTCCACCAAAATGTATAAACGAGATTGGACACATTAGCACTAGCATGGGGAAACACGAATCTATTACATAACACTTTCACCCACAGGTAGCAAGTGCCAAAATGTTGGGTTTGAAATCTTTATGTAGAAATTACTTGCATTGATCTGTAACTCTGATGCCTTAAAGTTTTATCATTAATATATGAAATTTCATAAATAAAATGATGTGATTTTTTTCCATTGACATTCCAGAGTTCACTTTTAGATAAGTGCAAGCTACATAGTGATGCTGAGACTGGCTTCAAAATAAAGGGACAACAGAAAGGCAGGGGAGGCTTACAGCCTCTGTGAGTGATAGACAGTTCTGGAGGGAGGCTTGACTCTGTTTCCTGGGTTTTGTATTTAACTATGTCATTTCACTAAGGTGTAATAGAATTACTTTGCACTCTGAAGGACCAGGTGAGTTCAGAACGTTCACGTGGCCTCTCTGCTCTTCTGTGAGAACAGAATTGTTAACCTGTCTTTGTAAGGGATTCTTAACAAGACCGTGATGGTGAGGGATGAACTAAATTCTTACTGTTTGGGGTTTAAAAAGCTTTCCTCTCAGAGCTTATAATTTAATATGATGCTCAAAGGCTCCTCTCTTCTGAAAACCTGCAGTCTGCAATGATCCTCAACCCAAACTGATCAGGTGCTGACATGATGTTACATGTAAACAGTTCCATGCCAGAGCTCATAAGGTATGCCACAGTCATGATGCTGAGGCACTGGAAGCATTGCACAAAATTGCCTTCAGGCTATGCATATAAGAAGTTGAAATGGATTGGGGGCTTAGAATTGGGTACCACCGTCAAGCTATCTCATGTATATGCAAATATCCCAAGATTGAAAAATATTCCAGATCTGAAATACCCAAGGATATTAGATAAGGGAGAGTCAATCTATATTTGTGGAAACAATTTTTCTCAATGCACAGATCAACATAGGCCAACAGGCCCCAAAGTAAATTCTGCTTTTTATAAGTCTAACTGTAAAAATTTTGAGGAAGGCAGGAGCCTTCAGGGTCTCTAATTGAATGACATATTTGATGCTTAATCGTATCTGTATTATCACGATCTCATTTTTGGTTGTCCTGGAAACTGCTATTTTTTAAGAGACTTTCTAGACTAAGAAAAGATTGTAAAAATCTACACATCTACACATACAGAGGATGTGTCAAAGTTCCATTTACTTGAGGGTGATGACTTAAGATTTAGAGCTATGACAATGATTTCCTTTATGCTGTTCTGGAGAAAAATGTTCTTAACAGTAGGCTTGTTAATAAACATTATGGCTTTATTTTCCAGAACTTAACATATACTATGTGGTATTCAGTATTTGAATCAAGGAATCAAATTTTCCATCTCTACATCAAGTAAGAAAAATTAATTACAAAATGACTAAATTATAGCAATATTGGAAGTAATAAAACACAAAAATTGGGAATACACACATATGCAATATTGAGAGTAGGAAGAAAATAGAAATCTATGCAATGAAACAAAAGTGGGTCTATAAATATTGATGGCAACAATCATCTGCTGGGAATTGAAAGCAGGAGGCAGCTGATATCAAGACATTTGTAATCAAGGGCTTAAAAAGTCCATAGCATAGAGAAATAGAAATATGCTTGCCAACAATATTGTTTGTCTCAAGTAGAAATTTGCCCATCATTCAGATTTTTCAATCCAGTGTGCAAGAGGAAAACAGTCCACCTTTGATATAATTTCCTGCAATAGATAAGTTATATTGTATCTTGAAGGCGGCCTTACCATATGAAATGACGACTACAGGAGGATTTGTAAGGCAATGAAAAAGATTTTAGACTTATCACCCGAGACAGATGGTATGGAATGGAAAGTTTACTCTTTTAAACACAGCCTAACAATTATACACTGTCTTTGTCGCTTTGCCAAAACATAGCTAAACAGTAATTTCCTACTTAGTAAGTTACAGAGTCAAGGATCCCTACTGCAGGCAGTTTTCAGATTTGCAGGGAATGTTTGTCCTTATATCCCTGGAATAAAAATCTTCAGGAAGTGTGCTTAAATGTACCCAATTCATCACCATCTGCATGTCAGTTGTTCTCTTTTATTTCTTGCCACTTACTAGTTTCTAGCAGAGCAGAGCTCACAAAGTAGACTTTTCCTCTTGGTGTTTTTAGACTCATGGGAATCCAAGTTAGCTTTCATCTACTACAAGCATTGGACATTATTGTGTCAGAACATTGGCTAATTGCTCTTTTGCTGGCATATAAGTTCCAAGTCTAAACAGCTGTCATGAGGTAGAGAACATACCTCGCAAGGGACTACTAGATCCCTTTCTCATCCTGGCAGGATGAATTGTGAATATGTTTGAGTGCAGCATTTGTGTGTGCTTTTGCGGAGTAGCACCATAGTTTTGAACCATACTAGAATAGCTAGTTGTGTGATATGAATGCTTTTAACTCTGCCTAGAAACCTATTTCACTATTCCTAAACTTACACCTTTCCATCTTTGTTCTGTAGTCACATCCTCTGATTGTTTTTTTCTTTTTCAAGTTATGATTGTTATTTGTTACTTTGTTCCTTTTATTAAAGATAGAATTTGTTCTCATATACTATATCCTAATTATGGCTTCCCTTCCCTAGTTCTTCCCCAACTTCCTTCCCATCCAGATCCACCCCCTTTCTGTATCTCATTAGAAAGCAGACAGGATCCTAAGGGATAATAATAAAATAAAATAAGATAAAACAAAAATTAACACATTGGAATTGGACAAAACAAACAAACAGAAGGAAAAGAGGCCAGGAAAGGGCAAAGTAAATAAATACAGATGTAGAATCTCAGTTGCTCAGAAATCCCATAAAACATTAAACTGGAAGTCATAATACCTATGCAAAGGACCTGTTAGGGTAACAAGAGAGAAGAAAATGTATAAATTAATTTTAAAAATAAGAAAAAAATTAAAACTCTGTGTGGGAAGCTCTGTCATGATTTTGTGAAATAAGGAACCTGTAGAGTCCACGATATTTCAAAAATATTAGCTCCTACCCTGCTTCTTCTCTTGCATGAAACTTGTCCCACATTCTCTGCAGTTATGAGAACAGTTGGTTAAAAAAATCCTAGATGTGTCAAGAGCTATGTTATTATAATCACAGATTTGTGTAAGCAAGCTTTCATCCCCCCATTAAACTCATGCATTCTCCTTGTTGATACAAATTATACTACTAGTTGTAAAATGTTATCACAAGTTATAAATCCCCAGAATGTACTGTCATCCAAGACTTAACCTCAAGTTGCAAAATTTTCTTTTCTTGTATTACCCTAGAGCCCACTCTACTTGTAGCTTTTGCCTTAAAATGGACTTACTCCCAGATGGGTGGTGGTGGTGCACACCTTGAATCCCAGCACTCAGGAGGCAGACAGAGGCAGGTATATCTCTGTGAGTTTGAGGCCAGCCTGGGCTACAAAGTGAGTTCCAGGACAGCCTGGGCTATCACACAGAGAAACCCTGTTTCAAAAAAACAAAACAAAATAACAAAAAAAGAATTAATTTTTTAAAAAGGACTTACTCCCTCTGCTCAGGGTCACTGTGTCAGAACCAGACCTGCGTTGGTCTTAACTAGTTAGAATTATGGTACCCCACAGTGATGGAATAAAGTTGCCTCTGCTCATCTAACTTTGGTATTTCTGCTCATCTAACTCAGTATTTCTGAAACTCCTAGATCCAGCAGAACCCATAAAAATGCCCTTGAGTTCATTTGCTGTTGGCCATCTACTTCTGGGCATGCCGCCTGCCCTTAAGAGTAGTTTTTCTCTCCAGTGAGACTTCCATGGGGGAAACTAAATTGTTATTTGCAAGTGGTTATCAGTTGTGGTCAGGGTATGTCCATGTCTTCATTCAACTGTAGATCCCCAGATGGATGCAGGCCCTGTGCATGATGCCTCATTCAAGGTGGATATGTATGTTCATCTATCATGTTGATTTAGGGGACCTTGTCTTTTGTTTACCTGTGTCCTCTGTTCCCTTTTCTGCCTCCTCTTCCTCAGGGTTCACTGAGCCTTGAGGGGAGCAATTTGATGGAGACATCTGTTTAAGGCTCAAGGTTTGAACATCTCTCACTCTGTATCATGTCTGGCTGTGGGTCTCTGTATCAGTTCCCATCTCTGCAGGAGGAAGCTTCTGTAATGATGGCTGCAAGCCACTGATCTATGAGTACAGCAGAATCGTTATTAGGAGTCATTTTATTGCTATCTTTTTCTGTTTGCTTTTGGAACAGTACTATTTGGTTTTACTGTAGGTCCCTGGGCTATCTATTCTCAGATTCTTGGTCACCCAAGCAGTGCTGAGTGTGGTGATATCTTTCTTGCACAAATAAAGCCTGTCTGGGGGTCAGAAAATGGAGATTGCCACTAGCTAACCATAGAGGTCTGGATGGAGGTCTGTACAGATAGGCAGGAAGTTACGTATCTGGGCAATAGCAGTATATAAGCAGGGCCAAATAGGAAATCGCTCTCTTCTCTGTGGAGATGCTCAGGAGATAAGGTTTACTGTGGTTTGCTCCTTCTCTCTGATCTCTCAGCATTTTCCTCTATATAGGATTCCAGACTTTTATTATCTAGACCAATTAAGCACTCAATTTACAGCTAAGTATGGGTGCCATCTCGTGAAGTGAGCCTTTA